CTGCCTCAGCCTCCTGAGTAGCTGAGATTACAGGTATGCACCATCACACCCAGCTAATTTTTGAATTTTTTAGTAGAGATGGGGTTTCAACATGTTGGCTAAGCTGGTCTTGAACTCCTGACCTTGTGATCCACCCGCCTTGGCCTCCCAAAGTTCTGGGATTACAGGAGTGAGGCACCATGCTTGGCTTTTTTTTTTTTTTTTTTTAATTTTGTAACAACCCCTCTCACTGCCCCTGGGGTAGACTTCTATTACTGAACAATATTTCACAAATTGGTCCAAATAGCTCATATCTGAGAACTATACCTTAAGCCTCCCCCTCTTTGAAGTGACAGGAAATTAGAAACTGGAACTAGAGACTTACTATTTTCCAGTCAGAAATTGCTGACTCATCACATCAGCTCCCTGTTCTGAAATTTCTCTTTCTGCGATCACCAAATAGTTTTACAATTACTAAATTTAGAAAACACAGGCTGGTGATTATCTCGATTGATGCAGAGAAGGCTTTTGACAAAATTCAACAACTCTTTATGCTAAAAACCCTCAGTAAACTAGGTATTGACGGAACGTATCTCAAAACAATAAAAGCTATTTACGACAAACCAATAGCCAATATCATAGTGAATGGGCAAAAACTGGAAGCATTCCCTTTGAAATCTGGCACTAGACAAGGATGCCCTCTCTCACCACTCCTATTCAATAGAGTACTGGAAGTTCTAGCCAGAGCAATCAGGCAAGAAAAAGAAATAAAGGGTATCCAAATTGGAAAGGAGGAAATCAAATTGTCTCTATTTGCAGATGACATGATTGTATATCTGGAAGACCCCATCATCTCAGCCCAAAATCTCCTGAAACTGATAAACAACTTCAGCAAAGTCTCAGGATACAAAATCAACGTGCAAAAATCACAAGCATTCCTATACACCAGTAATAGACTTCAAGAGAGCCAAATCAAGAACGAACTGCCATTCATAATTGCTACAAAGAGAATAAAGTACCTAGGAATACAACTAACAAGGAACGTAAAGGACCTCTTCAAGGAGAACTACAAGCCATTGCTCAACGAAATAAGAGAGGATACAAACAGATGGAGAAACATTCCATGTTCATGGTTAGGAAGAATCAACATCGTGAAAATGGCCATACTGCCCAAAGTAATTTACAGATTCAACGCTATCCCCATCAAGCTACCAATGACCTTCTTCACAGAACTGGAGAAAAACACCTTAAATTTCATATGGAACCAAAAGAGAGCCCACATAGCCAAGTCAATTCTAAGCAAAAAGAACAAAGCAGGAGGCATCACACTACCGGACTTCAAACTATACTACAAGGCTACAGTAATCAAAACAGCATGGTACTGGTACCAAAACAGAGATATAGACCAATGGAACAGAACAGAGGCCTCACAGGAAATACAACATACCCACAACCATCTGATCTTCGACAAACCTGACAAAAACAAGCAATGGGGAAAGGACTCCCTGTTTAATAAATGGTGTTGGGAAAACTGGCTAGCCATGTGCAGAAAGCAGAAATGGGACCCCTTCCTGACACCTTACACCAAAATTAACTCCAGATGGATTAAAGAATTAAACATCAGACCTAATACCATAAAAACCTTAGAGGAAAATCTAGGCAAAACCATTCAGGACATAGGTGTAGGCAAGGACTTCATGACCAAAACGCCAAAAGCAATGGCAACAAAAGCCAAAATAGACAAATGGGACCTAATCAAACTCCACAGCTTCTGCACGGCAAAAGAAACAGTCAGTAGAGTGAATCGGCAACCAACAGAATGGGAAAAAATTTTTGCAGTCTACCCATCTGACAAGGGGCTGATATCCAGAATTTACAAAGAACTAAAGCAGATCTACAAGAAAAAAACAAACAAGCCCATTCAAAAACGGGTGAAGGATATGAACAGATACTTTACAAAAGAAGACATACAGGAGGCCAACAAACAAATGAAAAAATGCTCATCATCACTGGTCATCAGAGAAATGCAAATCAAAACCACATTGAGATACCATCTCACACCAGTTAGAAGGGCGATCATTAAAAAATCGGGAAACAACAGATGCTGGAGAGGATGTGGAGAAATAGGAACACTTTTACACTGTTGGTGGGAATGTAAATTAATTCAACCATTGTGGAAGACAGTGTGGCGATTCCTCAAGGACCTAAAAATAGAAATCCCATTTGACCCAGCAATCCCATTACTGGGTATATATCCAAAGGATTATAAGTCATTCTACTACAAGGACACGTGCACACGAATGTTCATTGCAGCACTGTTTACAATAGCAAAGACCTGGAACCAACCCAAATGCCCAACGATGATAGACTGGATAGGGAAAATGTGGTACATATACACCATGGAATATTATGCAGCCATCAAAAACGATGAGTTCACGTCCTTTGTAGGGACATGGATGAACCTGGAAACCATCATTCTCAGCAAACTGACACAAGAGCAGAAAATCAAACACTGTATATTCTCGCTCATAGGCGGGTGTTGAACAATGAGAACACATGGACACAGGGAGGGGAGCACTACACACTGGGGTCCGTTGGGGGGAAATGGGGGAGGGGTGGGGGGTGGGGAGGTGGGAAGAGATAGCATGGGGAGAAATGACAGATACAGGTGAGGGGACGGAAGGCAGCAAAGCACACTGCCCTGTGTGTACCTATGCAACAATCTTGCATTTTCATCACATGTACCCCAAAACCTAAAATGCAATAAAAAAAAAAAAGGAAAACACAGGCTGGGCATAGTGGCTCACACCTGTAATCTCAGCACTCTGGAAGGCTGAGGCAAGCAGATCACCTGAGGTCAGGAGTTTGAGATCAGCCTGGCCAACATGGTGAAACCCCTTCTCTACTAAAAATACAAAAGTTAGCTGGGCGTGGTGGTGGGCACCTGTAATCCCAGCTACTCAGGAGCCTGAGGCAGGAGAATCACCTGAACCAGGGAGGTAGAGGTTGCAGTGAGTCATGAGTTGAGATCATGCCATTGCACTCCAGCCTGGGCCACAGAGTGAGACTCTGTCTCAACACACACACACACACACACACACACACACTCTTCCAGCCTTATTTTACTCATGGTGCTTAATACTATTTGCCATGATCTTTTAAATAAAATCCTCCCCTCCTGTGATGTTACCTTTCCTAATTTCCCTTCCCTCATTCTTTCTATTCTTCTTCATTCTTCCTGGTATATTCTTTTCCTGTCTATCACTTAAATTTCATGGTTCTGTAGAATTCTGATCTCAGGTCTCTGCTCATGTTTTAATGTTATTCTTGGGTCACTTTCTTTAAGTGAATTGACGTTCCTTCCAAAATCATAATAAATACTCTTTCATCTCTTCATTTTACAACCTTACCAAGTCTTCAGAATTCCCGCACACACTCACAGTTAGCCAACAGAAAGGGATAAAACTGAAATTGAACTTCTATATCCAGGGGCAAGGTAAAAAAAGAAAAACAAAAATGAGAAACTGAGTCAAGTAGGGTCACTTGTTATGATGAAAACCAAACAGAATTTACCCAGTATATTTGGAATTAGCAGTATTTAGGAAGAATCTTGTCCTAGGTAATCTGGGCAACAGATGCTGATGAAGTGAAATTTGTTCACTGTGTTCAGTAGGGATCAATGGACCTGATATTTAGCTAATTAAAAAATAACATGTAATTTTGTGATCTATAACTTGAGGGAAGGATTTGGAAAGGGCTGTTTTCCAGTCGTAATTAGGAAATACTTTATTTCTAAATCGATGATTCTTTCATAGCCCTAGCTGATGTGGCTGTTAAAAGTCATTCTCACTTTCAAAGCTCATTGATTCACACTTTTGCTTTGTAGTTTGCCAACATCACACAAAATGAATGGAGATCTAATTTTACCTTTCTTTAATGGCATTCTACTGCTCTTCAAGCATCCCAACACAACTATGAAAGACACCATGGGGACTCTGCCCCTTGCTAAAATTAACTGCCTCTCAGTGAGGCTCTAACGTAGGGTGGAGCTCAAGTGGCAGATGTTATGAATATGAACAGCCACCAGGTCACATTCTTGTCTTGCTTCCTCTGAGGCTTCCACAGTTGACTGCATTGATCAATTGTTTCCAGAAGCCTAGAGAGGGGTCTAAGATGATACATCCACAAAGTCCTTCAAACTCACTTCTTTTTTTCATTCAGCAGAGGAAAAGTTGCTAATTTCCTAACCTATGAATATTCTCAAAATCAAAATTTAAAATTCAACTAGCCGTGGGAAACAGGTATGAATTTGAAGTTATTTTAGGTTCATCTGAAATATGTCAATAGCAAAAAGATTGGTGAAAAAGATTAGACTGGGTGGCCGGATCCACTTTTTGCATAGGTAGTTTCACTTTTTCCTCTGTTGAAATTTCTTCTTTGTACTGATCTTTCTTCCTGTGTCAGGAAAAGCCTAAATCTTTCTCTGCCTAGAACCTTGAGAATCGGCAAGAGAGGAATGGTTTCAAATCTATCGTTTCAAAAAAATCTGATTAGAGAGCTCATTCCCTCCCTCCCTCCCTCCCTCCCTCCCTCCCTCCCTCCCTTCCTCCCTCCCTCCCTTCCTCCCTTCCTCCCTCTCTCCTTTCTTCCTCCCTTTCCCTTTCCTTTCCTCCTTCCACACAGTTACAAGTGCCCTAAATGATCAAATATCTTTATACACTTTTTAAACCATAAACCTAAAGTTGCAGATATCAGAGAGACCTGCGACATATCTCAGCCTGCACTCTGATTTTATAGCTGAGGACAGTGAGCTCCCAGGAGGGGAAGTGGAATGAGATCTAGGTCTCCTGCACCTTCTCCCTTGTTCCATTCTGGCTTAAAGGAGACTACAAGAGGCCAACATGCTTACTTTTGGAAGGATCGCTATTAAAACTTTGCATAGGCTGATTTTTATTTTTTTGTATTGGGTAGGCTCTTAAAAATCAACAGAGGGAAGTCACGGTTGCCTTTCCAGTACTTACCAACAAATAACTGGCTGTAGAGTTCCAGGCGGGTGTGGCCTTCTGTCGGGGCCTTGCGGATCTGCTGGGGCAGCCGGTCCACCTGCAGGCTGGCTTGCTTGACGTTCCGCTCTGCAGTGACCCGGTGCCACTGGTCATCGTTGAGAGGTGTCGGTGACCTCACTACAATCTCGACTGGCCCATTTCCCACATCAAACGAAAAGGACACTTCTGTGGCAGCTGGAGGAACAGAAAGCATGAAAGACATGAGTATTTTTCTCCCACAGACCACATAGCAGTAAATTCTAGAAGACAACCAAAGAAGGAAGAGGACAACTCATGTAAGCCTGTTACTTCCTACAAAGGTTCATGGCAAAATCAGTGGAGGAAGGATAAAACGTCAATCATTAACCATTAATAACCAAGGGGAGGAAAATAAATGTGTATTGGGGCCTATGTGCCAGGTATACATTTATTTCCTTAATCTTAGAAACCTTCCAAGATGTGACCGTCATTGACCTTCTCCAGATAAGGAAACTGAAGTCTGGAGAAGTTAGCATATGTTGAGTGTCTTAGATTAGGTAAGTTAGTGGAGTCAGGAACTGAACCAAGGTTTGTCAGCTTTCAGAGCTTGAGATCTTTTAATTCCACATACAATTTACCTTTTCAGTAGCTCCTTGGGAAGTGATTCATAGTCACCTGGAGATCTCTTGAAATGTGTCTAGAGATTTTGACTCAGTTGGCCCAGAGTTGGCACTAGTATTTTTTTGAAACTCCCCAGGAAATGTTAATATGTAGCCACTTCTTTGGGGGACTTTGTGGAACTGTAATTTCATTGATCTTTATACTCTACTGAAAGTTAGGGAACTTTGAATTGTTGATGCAATGAAGGTGACCTACAGTTTTCAACCACCTGTGGCTACCCAAAAAGTAACAGAGTATTTCTGAAGAGTAATCATTGTCATACATCATCTGTTGCGAACCTTGGTTATTGCCCATCTGGGATGTGGCCTCCTTCTGGTAACCTACCCTCTAGCACTGACCACAAATTATTCCTTTTTCTAAGAAGTCACCTCCAAATCAACCTCTCCTGCAATAAGCCACCTCTCAACAATTGGCAAATGGATTGGTTACTTTATTAACTTTAGCTATAGGTAGCTTTCTTATTTCACATTTTATGTTTCATGTCAAGTTCCTCAGTGATCACCTAGTAGTTTATAAACAAGCTTGTAAAATGTATATTTTTTGCTTGTGATTGACAGCAGAGGCAGCTTCATGCTGAAGCAGCATAAACATCTTCAGCTCCCTTAAGCTGGGTGAATTCTTTTCAACATTAAAGATGTGGCACACCAGTGAATTTCCTAACTTTGCTTATAAAGATACTCAGCCCCTCTATCCATCAATAAGCCTTCCACCTAATCTCTAAGCAGTTTAATTAAATATCTGTCATTTTTTCCTGGGCTAATGGAAAATTCAGCTTCCTTCGGCGGGTACCAGTTTGAGACAGTGTCACAAACAATCAAACTTCTAATTTAAAAACGACGGTGGGCCAGATTCTCTCAGGACCTAGACTGCTCCCTGCCTCCGTGTTGGGCTCCTTGGAAAGCTGCATTAACTTTATTGAGCTATAGGGACCTTAGACACAGAGCTCAATTTAATCAACCTAATTGTACCAAGGAATTTTGATCCTTTATGTCATTAGTGAGAGAACTTTCATTTTAACACCTGTGGTGATTAGACATGCAGTTCAGTAAAATATCTCATCTAAATTAGAAGCCCCTGCCTCCAGGGGTCATTGAGAATGGATTTAACTTGCAGGCCAGTGACCTCCATCAAGGTTTCCATGGAAGTATGATCGGAATGCAGGAAGACGATAATATGACCCACAAGCTGCGTGATCCTTCTCTGTAGTTCTGATGCAGCAGATGAGTGAAAAGTAGCCTTGGTTTCAGATTAAATCTGTTCTGTTCTCATAGCACTGTATTTTAGCAGAAGCATTTTTTAAATGTAAGTTGTCAGAACAACAAGAGAAGGAGGGTTCCTGGGCTAAGTAGGAAAGATTGTTTCATTTTAAAGGCATCAACTGCCATCAAGGAAATAGAATTTAGGGATAAATTGAGTTTAACCCTAAGGTTTGACTCGTAGGGATAAATGCTGCTCTCACTTCCTCTGCTATTCTCCTATTGCTATGATGAAATCATGTCCAGGTCTTCAAATTGTCACTATTTGGAGAAACTCTGAGTGCCAGCAGTTGCTAGAAAATATCCATACTTTTCTCTTTGCTTATCCCAATAGATCCCCTATTTCTTCACCGTCATCTTAACACCAGTACTTTATTCTAGAGAAGGGAAGAAAGTTGCCAAGACCATGCCATAGCTCAGAGCCTCTCACCCTCACAGGATGCAGTAAGAAGGACTCAAGGCCAAAGGCCCCAAGAGAAACTTCCTTCCTCAAGGGTCTCCATTCAGGCTCTGCTGGAGAAATATTTACGAAGTTAGCACCTTCCATGCCCCTTCTGTTGCTTCCTCGGGAAGGGTCTCTAAGACCCAGCGTGAGAGCCAAGAAAAGGCCTCCTTTTTCTCAGCTACTCAATGTCAGCTTCCCTGACATTGCTGTGAGAAGCATTTGAGAAATCCCATCCCCCGGTCAGACAGCCAGTGTGTTTTAAAAGCTTCTAAGTTCCGTTTGTGGCTGATTGCTCTTGGTCTTCTGGGTGAGAGCAACTGACATTTTAAAAGAGATAATTATAGAGAGAGTCAGTGAACGAATAAAAGGGAGACAGCATAAAAGACACTCGAGCCAATGACACCGTCCTCGCTTAATGTGCGTCTCCAGTTGGAGTCTGAAGTATTGCCCTATTTCTGCCTGCGGAAAAGGAATTTCTTATATGCCATACAAATTCTCATTTCCAGAAACAAGTATTTGAGAACTGGATGCATATAGCCTAGCTCATTGGAAAGAACAGTGTGCCAAACATGAATGGTTGCCTTGCCATGAGTGTCAAGAACTGGGAAAGGTCTGAGACTTTACCCCACTTGCAGGCTAACAATTTAGCTATGGTTTGATGATGCTGGCAGAACCATAGTTTAACATGGCCATAGTTCAATGATGCTGGCAGAAGACATGAAACTCCTGGGTCAGAGACAAAGGACTTCTTTACTCACAAAAGAGCAGGTAGCCTGCGCTTCCGGTTCACACTGCTTTTCCTTGTGGGGGAATGCAGGGCATCCCAGATGGATGCTGTACATGCAGTAACTTTGCTTCACAGCTTAGGGACCCTGGACTTAGGAAACCCCAATCTTTTAAAATAGCTACTAGAAAACTTGCTCAATTTCTGCCCCGGAGAGAAACATATTTATTACTCTGGCCATGAAATAAATCTACTCTCTGTCCCAGAGGAAGACACTATCTATGTCTTCCAAGGCTGTTAGCTATACACACATCTTTAAAGAAGGTATGAACAAAGCTGTCAATGCTTCTTACTCGGAAGACAGGGAAAAGTGGGAGAGACTCTTGGAGATTTTCCTTCCAATAATTAGTCACTCTCCCTTTTTCCTTTGTGAGCTAGCCTGATTTTACCCTGGAATCTCCCTGTTTTCAGAGCCTTGTGCTTTGTTAAGGACAGCCCTACCCCAGGCCCACAGGGTGGATCTGGATTTAACAGAGGGAAAGATGACAATTCCAGGCTCCTTGCCAGCTACGCACTTCGGGTGGGACACATCATTCCCTTCTAGCCAATGGGACATCAGTTGAGTCTTTTGGTGAGAGACATGGAGTCTTTTGGTAAGGAAAAGAGTCCCTTTTCTGCCCATTAATATTAGGTGGGAAGTTGAGATTCTCAATGTTGCTGGAGCTGTCTCACAAGTATCAGAGATACAGAGGACAGAGAGAACAGGGGATGAGCCTGGGTCATTGCTGACATTGTTCAACTTAAACAATTTTTTTAGTTTTATTTTTTGAGACAGGGTCTTGCTCTGTCATGCGGGCTGGAGTGCAGCAGTGTGATCACAGTTGACTGCAAACTTGACCTCCTGGGCTCAGATGATTCTCCACCTCAGCCTCCCAAGTAGCTGAGACTACAGGAGCAAACTGCCATGTCCAGCTAATTTTTGTGTTTTTTTTTTTTTTTTTTTTTTTTTTTTTTGCAGAGATGGGGTTTTGACATGTTGCCAAGGCTCATCTTGAACTCGTGGACTCAAGCTATCCATCTACCTCAGACTCCCAATGTGCTGGGATTACAGGCATGAGCCCCCACACCTGGTCTATTTAACTTTTAAATTAATTTGAAGCCATCTAACTTAGGATTTCTTACATAAGATACGCTTTTATGTTATTGTTCAAGCCATTTTTATTGTAGCTGAAAGCAACTTAACTGATATAGAGCCTTAGCTGTTCAGTCTTTTTACTTTTCACTCTTAAGGCCTCAGTTTGATGTCCAAAGTGAGGATTATACCCATAGCTTCCCAAACGTTTCTGTGTTCAAAATGTGTTTAAAACCACTGAGCTAGATTTCCTCTATGGTTCTTTCAAATTGCAGCATTCTATAATTTTTCAAGAGACTCTAAGAGAAATAAAATGAAATACAGCTAGTCTTAATGGTAATTTTAGATACTGAATCATTACAGAAAGAAAAGAAAAATACTCAAAGAGAAATACACAAGGTGGCATATTGACATCGGAAAAGAATATAGGTGGAAGAAATTACTATTGAATAAAGCAGGCCCATGACTTCATCTGAATGGCTTAAAGCAATGAATGGGACAAAACCATGGAGAGCTCCCGGCATGTTCACGCTCCCCCTTCAAGTGTAATTCCAGTAGGTGGCACTATTTGCTCTCATTCTAACTCAAATCACTCCAGGCTTCACATATTGAGCGATAAATTTAACAACTGACCAATAACAGGTTTTTTGGCTCTGAGTTTTCTCAGCTGGTGAAGGAGCATTTAGACATTCGACCCACAGTTTCAGCTGAAGTAGCAGAAAAAATTTGGCTATTCAATACAGAACAGGCTAAGAGATAGAAGGACAGTGATACATTGTGAGCATGATGGGCAGACCAGCTAACACTGTTTCGTTTAGATGATGATTTATTTCTTCCATTCTTAAATAAGGTTAGAGAAGTAGCAGCTTCTCAGGGGATCTTCTGTACAATAAATCTCATTTGACTCATACAACAAAACTGGTAATTGGTAGAACAGATATATTTCAGCCTCACTCTATGGTGAGCAGTGTTATGAAT